GCGAGTAGCAGACAAGAAAGGCATGCTGTTTTCTGGGGAGAAAGAGTGGGAGGTGGGCGAGCATCTGGCTCTGACTATTGACTCTGGCTGCTAGCACTGCTCCTGTGCTTTCAGGATGCAACATAGTCCTCTATTTTAACTGTGCACAATCCATGAACCTGTCAATTAGTGTCATAGTCAGTCCCCCTTTGTGCACCAATACATTTCTCCCTGCCATAATGTTGAACTGAGACTCCAGCAGCCATGCTCTCTTGGGGACATTTTGCTGGCTCCTCCAAGCAGACAGGGAAAACCTCTGGTTACCCACTGCTGGTCAAGCAGCAGTCTCTGCTGCTAAGCCTGAGCCCAGACCATAGTTCTTCTCAGACTGGTCTACTCCCTATTAGGGGGTCCTTCCTGCGATGTGGAAGACCTTCTCTGTCTCAGTCATGGCAGGAACTTGGTACCATATCCTGGGAGGGCATCTCCTCATTATCAGGATGCCTTTGCTGTGGGGCTTTTTCTCTCTCCTGGCCTTAGCTACTTCCTTTTCTGCAGGCATGGGGAGAGGCAGGGATGCTGCAGCCAGATGCCAAGCCCTGATGCAAGGCATCACACTGTGGCTCTTGCTGGTGGTCACCTGCCAGGGTGAACACATGGGTTCCCTGGAGGTTTGGGGTTTCTGCTGGCCCAGAGGCAGCACCTGAGGTCACCTGGTCTCTGCTGCTGCGCAGTGCATTCTGTGTCAGCAGGCCAGCTTCAGAATAACCACACTGTCATCGCTCTGCATTCCTACCCAGGCCCAGCCTTGCCAGCAAACCCCAAGCAGCCCAGATGCAAAGACAGCTGTGGTTCACAGTGGCACTAAGGAGAAGGGTGCTCTGGGTACCCCTCGGGACATGTGTGCCAAGTGCTCCCAGGGCAGTGTGCAGGCTCCTGCTGTCAGCAAGGTGGCTTTTGCCATCTGGAATTGGCAGCAACTTCTGCTGCAATCTCTATTAGGTGGCTCAGGGAGTCTGGCCAGGGCTACAAAGTGTGAGAAAAGGACCCCAAAGGCCACTTGGTCTGATCCCCTTGGCAAGGCAGAAATACACGTGTCAGTGCATTTAGAGAGTCCTCCTCGGGAATCGCTTCTGTCACTATCCCTTTCCTGGCTACTGCCCACGCAACAGCTGAGAGGCAGCTAATATAATTAGCAAGACTTAATGAGGGACAGTGCTGTTGGCCAGTGCCTTCAGTGGAGCTGCTGAGCTCTGTCTGCATCAGGGCAGAACCCATTCTGTTATCAAACAGCTGCCTCAAAAACTGGATGAGATTTTATCTTTTGCTTTCAGGCTCAATACGGAAAGCTGTGATTCAGCTTTGTGCAGAAAGCTGTTCATCAAGTTCCCAGAAAAGCTGACCCAGCTTGTGTGGATCTCCCCCACACAAGCAAAGTCCTGGGCATGAGTGGTGCTTTGGGCAGTATTGGGACACAAGGACTATGATGGGAGAGTTTCTAAATCATTACTGTTGTTTATTCATAGACATCGAATATCTTTATGCTCAACAGTTTCTTTGGATCTTTGGTGTTAATGAACTGTATGAAATACATACATCATCCTCCTTCCTTTTCCATGAAAATGTGAAATTTTCTTGCCTACAGATTTTGAATTTTGCCTTCTTGATTGCACAATATGAAAAAAAAAAAATATAGCCTGCATAATGAAAACCAGAAACCTCATGGCTTGAGATGTTCTTCAGTATGATGAATGGATATGAAAATTAATTTGTGTCGGAGCCATAGCATTTGATGACTGGAATTGTGCCTTATTATTGGTACATAAGCAGGCCAGCTGAGGACACAGCTTAAACTACACTCCAGGTGGAAAAAAAAGCTGAAACAGTGCCATCAAAGGTAGTTGATAGTTCAAAGCAAAACTTCCTTATCTTTACCTTTTCTCATTTGGTTCTTGCTAGGATCTCATTGTGGTTTAACTGTAGTCCAAAACCAAGCCCCACACAGCCAGTCATTCGCTCTCTCCCCACTGTGATAGGGAAGGGAATCAGAAAAGCCAAAGCGAGAGAGGTCGTGTGTTGAGATAAAGACAGTTTAACAGGCAAAGCAAAAGCCACACACAAACAAAGAGGAACAAGGAATCTATTCACCACTCCCGGTGTTCAGGCAGGTGTTCAGCCATCCCCAGGAAAGCAAGGCTCCACCATGTGTAATGGTAACTTGGGAAGACAAACACCATCAGTCCAAAAGCCTCCGTCTCTCCTTCCCCCAGCTTTAAATGCTGAGAATGATGCCATATGGTCTAGGATATTCCTTTGGTCAGCTGGGGTCACCTGTCCCTGCTGTGCCCTCTCACAACTTCCTGTGCACTCCCAGCCCTCTTGTTTGTGTGGTGGGGTGAGAGGCAGAAAAGGTCCTGGCTCAGTGTCAGCCCTCCTCACCTGTAACAAAAACATCTCTGTGTTATGAACATTGTTTTGGTCACAAATCCAAACCGTAGTGTCACAGCAGCTGCTAGAAGAAAAATTAACTCTATCCCATCCAAAACCAACACAGACCTTTCTACAGGTTATTTTCCTAGAAGTACTGTTAGAAGACTTTGCTCCTAAAGGAGCAAGGCTGGGGAAAAGCAACTGCATCCTGCTACCTCAGCATACCTGCAATGCATCTGGTATTTCTCAAATCTCTTCCAGTACTTTTAGTTTTTCTTCAAGGTGGCTTTAAATTACCTGTTTCAAACCACATTGTCTAAATCTAATTTATGGGAGCCAAAGGCACGTCTAAGCAATCACTTCTAAGCAATCAATAATGCCACTTCATGAGACAAAGACTCCAGTATCCATGCTGACCCAAGGTGTTCCTGACACATAATACCTGTCCTTGCCCCTGGCCCCATGCATGGCACTGCAGCACCCCAGCTCCCTGGCACACTTTGCACAACACTGAATTGAACTGAAGAACTGATCTGGCTTAATGAACATCTGCCAAAACCCTTCCCCCTCATCCTGTTTTTTAATCTGTATCAATTCTCCAGTCTGGCCCTGGTGTTAAGGCCTGGTGTAAGAGCTGAGAGGGAAAAAAAAACCTAGAGGATGAGGGGTGAAAAGGTGAGAGAGTAAGAAAGAGCTTCATCTCATCCTGTTGTTGTGGTCTCTGTCCCAGGAGCTGTCTGCTGTCAAACACCACACTGGGAGAGGTCACCCCAAACCTTTCAACATTATTGAGTCTCTGCTTCAGCAGAAGTGATCTCAGGAGAATCTCCGTCAGGCCATGACTACTGGGGGGATATGTCAGGCAGTGGTAAGGAGGATGTGGTGGGTGCTTGGGAAAGAATGAAGGAGGTGTTGGAAGAAATGGTATTTTAAATGAGAAAACCAGTGGGAACTGTCTAAACACCTGCGTTTTTAGTAGATGCACCTGTGTGATGAAGAAATTGCAAGCCATTCAGAGAAGGGTGATCAGTGCAGGTTCTGTTGTGCTGTCAGGCACAGAGTCACAGGTGCATCAGCTGATGGGAAGATTGAGTTTTTTTTTTCTTCAACAAACTGTAATTTTATGTATATACATATGTATTAATACAGGCCAAGCCAAATGTGGCCAAAAAGACCCTTTTTGCATGCTCTCTGCCAAGAAATCCACCCTGAGCTGCATGTGAAGCCTTGCCCCTAGGAATTCTCTCTGTACAGACAGGCAGTTTACAGCCCATGACCCCAAACCATCAGCAGATGCCATTGTTATTGCCCTCAGTGTTTGTCTGCATCCCAAGGGTATATAAACTTCACTTTCCATCCCCACCCCTGTTTTAAATAGTAATAGGTCATCCCAGAAGCATGTTTACTTCCTTGTCATTTTTGGACTTAAATATAGAGCAGCCCAAATTGCCTGAGACTTAACATTTTCTAATTAACCAGTGGGAAACAGTGGAAGAACATTGCAAAGTACAATGCACAGCTAAACCAAATGATCACCCTTGAGTTTAAGCATGGGAATGTGGATGCCCAGCATTGCTACCCGCAAGATCTTCCTTCCTTTCCTTCCTTTCCTTCCTTTCCTTTCCTTCCTTCCTTCCTTCCTTTCCTTCCTTTCCTTCCTTTCCTTCCTTTCCTTTCCTTCCTTCCTTCCTTCCTTCCTTCCTTCCTTCCTTCCTTCCTTCCTTCCTCCCTTCCTCCCTCCCTCCCTCCCTCCCTCCCTCTCTTCCTCTCTTTCTCTCTTTCTCTCTCTCTCTTTCTTTCTTTCTCTCTCTCTCTTCCTCTCTTCCNTTCCTTCCTTCCTTCCTTCCTTCCTTCCTTCCTTCCTCCCTTCCTCCCTTCCTCCCTTCCTCCCTCCCTCCCTCCCTTCCTCCCTTCCTCCCTTTCTCTCTTTCTCTTTCTCTCTTTCTCTCTTTCTCTCTCTCTCTTTCTTTCTTTCTCTCTCTCTCTTCCTCTCTTCCTCTCTTCCTCTCTTGCCCTCTCTCTTTCTCTCTCTCTCTCCTTCTTTCTCTCTCTCTCTTTCTCTCTTTCTCCATTTGTGCAGGCTTTAAGAACTTCAGGTAAGTAAGATTTCTCATAGAAGTTCAGATGTTTTCCTTTTTGTAGGCATAACTTCATTGCACTGTGATGGTATTTATTAGGATAAACTTCTAGAAGAGTGAGGAGGGAGGGAGCTGTCCTTGTCTTAGGCAAAGGGAGCTTTATTAAAGTCAGACAGAGAAATAGAAGGCTACTAATTAATTGGAGGAATTTATCCTACCTAAAGAAACCAGCAAAAATACAGCTCAGGGCTTTATCTCAGCCTTGGACTTTTTTCTGCATTTTGTCCAAGTCTCATTTAGTCATTCACGAGTCTTTGGTGATTTCAAACTCTTTAAAAATGTTTATTTAAAATAGTTTTGTCTACTCTGATTATCCTGGACATCATTCCTCTACAAAGATGTCGCTGCATTGTTTCTGGTCAGTGGAGATCTTGAACACCTGTGGCAAGGTGGGAACAGCATCCTGTGCAAGAGCCTCCAGCTGTTGCTGGTTGAGCAGAGTGGAGAGGGAAACCTTCTGGAGATGCATCCAGGACTCATGCAGTGGAGAAACCTCCCAGTCATGGGTGGAATCCAATTTCTCCAGCTCACTAGTTGCTGAACAGGTACAGAGGGAAGCTTGTCTTTCTGAGCAAGAGTGACAATGTTACCCTGAAACCCCACCTGCACCATACAGAGCCTGCTCCTGCTGCTTCAGAGGTGGGCTTGGCAGAGCCCTTGGGTCTGTCCTGGGTGCATGGCTGGGGTGCTGTAGGTGTTGCCACGCTGCAAAAGGAGACAGGTTTCTGACATATTACCTTTCCAGAGGCATCTGGAAGTTTAGACATGTGAGGAACTGACCAGACTGAGTTCTTTGTATTACTTTGGCTTTTATATTATGTAAGGGAGGCAGAGTATACTCATACTATTATTTATTATTATTATTATTATTATTATTATTATTATTGAATATTGTGCTTTTAATTTGTACAGTTCCTTCCTCAGCATTGTTTGATCTGAATAGATGATAACAGACCTGTAATTGTGAGTAATTAATAACATATTGTTTACTCACCATATGCCTAGGGGACAGAGCAGTGAGCGGGGCTGCTGTGTCCTAGGTGTCCCTCCCTGCACTCACAACTGAGTGGATCATCTTTGATCTCTCTTTGCCTCCTCAGATCTCTCTTCAGCTTGGACTTACTGCTTACCATTCCCTTTTCTCCCACCCCTGGTTACCTTTGTGTTTGAGGGATTCTGGAGAAAGCAAGAACAGTTTGTTCTGCCTTCTCCCATACCTCTTGCATCTGCATGGAGTGGATGCTCTGGTCTGTTTTTAATTTCCAGATTCTACAGTGCTTTTGAGTCCAAGGTGCTAAATATAGATCTAACCCATAACAGCCAGTCTCCTTTTCATTTCTGTCTTACAATGTTATTTTCTGCTTTTATCGTTTAAGCCTAATGGATTTACATTATTAGGAGCTCTCCAGTGTGTACAATGTGGTTATGACCAAGACAAATGCCTCCAAAGTTTCCAGGAACATTTGTCTGAATAAAATCAAGGAAAAAAGTGACTCTTCCTTGGCTCTGCAGAAAGAGGATTGGTGCAGTGTAGGCACCTTCTGTCTCCCCTTTATACTGCAAACCTATGTGTGCCCTCTGGGTAGGGGAAGCACTTCCAGCACACTGTCTAGAAAAATTAGTCTCTGGAGAAAAATCAGCAGACACCATGAAAAGTGCTGGCTCAGATACCTTGTGTTGGCAGACTCCTACCAAAATTAGTTCTGGATAAGCCAGTACTTCTGTAGTCAGAACAAACTATTCCTTTTTCTTCCTATTCCTAACACAGTCATGCCCAAAAAAAAATTCAAGTCGGGAAAACATTTGGGGAAGCTATTAAGGAAAGTGAAGGGAAAAGAATATCCAGATAAATATGGAGCCATTTGAGACAAATATGAAGTAATGTGTAATAAACAGCTTGAATTTATAGGAGCTAAAGCAAGCCAAACACAAGTGATGGCTTTTTTGGGGCTGAGCTGCCCTAGCAAGCCAAGGAAGGAATGTGGTGGATAGAAGAGGCCAGGCCCACAGAGAGAGACATGAAGACGGCTCAGGACAAGTCTGGAGCCACACCTGTGCCTTTCCAAGCCTCATACCAGTGGCCTAAGCCAGTAGCTGAAGAGGAGTGGGGTATAGAGGAAAATTTCACTTCATCTCTGTCCAAGAATCTTCCCCCCTGGCTGTACAAAAGGCATATGAAAGAGGACTTCTGTGTGATCAGGGGATCCATCCTTGATGAGCTTGGTTGGGGTTAGGGTCTCTTCATGCAAGAGTCCAAGCAGCTGCTCTCAAGAGTTGCCAAAAAGGGATGAACACAGAAGACTGACCCCTCCAGGAGAAATAAAAGCTGGAACCTACATGAATAGCTACCCTGGGCACAGTGAACTTTTAACTTGGAGAAGCTCACCATGCTTAGTTTGACTATTGAAGTGCTGTCTGGAAAAGGGGTGAGAAGTAGCATGCTGCAGATGTCAGTGTGTGAATACTTTCTTGTTTTCAGGTGCTTCCCAAGGGAAACATGTACTGGTTTGGGGAAAGCTGTGTCTTCACTACCACCCCTTGGTCAGGGTTGCTCCAGTCACTCACTTTGCATTACTAACAGTTCACCTGGGGCTGTCTTTGGAAGGCAAGTTGGTTTCCTTAGAAATAACCTTCAGGTACAGCTATGAGCATAGTTCACTTCAGGCTTTGCTCCTAGTAGGCACTAGGATGAGAGACCAAGCCTGGCTAGGCCCTCCAGCACTAAACCAACACTCTTGTGCATCTTGAAACATGACATTATGTCCGTGAGGCGTGCTCAGCTGTGGCCAAGAAAGATTGCAAGGAGGCCATTTGGCATATTCACACTCTAGTTTGCTGCTGGAAGCATTACTTTTCATAGTGCTGTCCAGAAGACCAGAGGAGAAATCTGTTGCTGCTGGAAATGGCAGTAGTGCTGTAGGTCTTGGTTGGTGCCAGCAGAACAGATGGCCCAGGAGTGGTGCAGGGCTGACTGCTGCACCCATCCAGAAAGTGTGTTGTGCAAAGCAGGACCAGGCTGGTCTCCACTGTAGCCTGGCAAAGGAAGAAAGGTATGCTGTGTAGGAAGGGAGCAGATGTTTATTTTGAGTGTGCCAATGACCATGTACCTCAGTGGGTGGGGAAGTTCAAATATGACAATTCCAGTTAGAGTTAAGTTTTCCTAGCAAGAGATGCCAGAGCATTGATGCTCATGGCCAAAGGGTTGCTGCAACCTGGTGAAATAGATTCTTCTACATGGCTCCTGACGGTCCTGAAACCAGTTAATAGTGTCTCTCCTGTTTCTGAAGTTTTATGCTGTTCCTAGTATTGCAAAAAATAATCCTGGATATTTATAAAGTCATAATTTTAAATGCATTATGAGAAATGCAGGGGCTGGAAATTAAAAACCAAAAAAACCAAAACTAAACAAAAACCCCAAAAACAAACAAAAAAAATAAAAGAAAAAGAGACAGAAGGTGAGGTGAGAACATGGGCAAGAAACAAAAATGGTATGGTGTCCTATGGGTACAGTAATTCAGTAACAGAGGGAAGACTATGTCCTCTAGACCAGTTCTCCAAACTCCAGCCCCCAGAGCCTGCAGGAGCAAGTGTGCCCAAGAGCAGGAACTGCATATTGTGTCCACCACAGGTCTTTTTGTGTCCACCACAGGTCTTCTGTGAGCCCTTCGCTCACGGGGCATAAACTAGGCAGAGGCTGTGTGCATCCTGGTAAACTGAGAATGGTCAGGGCATGAGCCTGGACAGTGTCTCACATTCATTTGTACTGTGCCCATTCAATTACAGACGCAGCCCAGCTTGCATTCTTCCAGGCAGTGCATCACCATGGTTTGCAGATGGTTAACCCACTCCCAACACTCAGGAGGAGACTCAGCTTTGGGGAATATTTGAATCTGTCTGGTATCATCCCAACCACTAAAACCTGACTGACAAAGCCCTAAATCAGATCATCTTTTAGCTCCTCTTGACTTGCCCCCCTCCTGGCTAGTAATGCCTCTTTTGAGGCCAGCTGTGAATTATCTGCCAGAGGGAAGTTCTTAAAAAGCTTTATGCTGAAGTAGCCCACCTTATGTTCTCCATTAGGCAGGCTTTATTCCTCCCATGCTCAGCATTACACCAGCAGAAGTTGGATTAGACTTGTATTTCTTGGCTAAACAATGACTAAAGGAAGCACGATAACTATCTACAAGTATTTGATGGGTGTAAACTCCAGTAAGGAAGACGAATTGTTTAGTATGGTTAAAGGACTTTCATGGCTAAGAGCAATTAGATTAAACTGAACAAAGCAAAACATAAACTGAATAGCCTTTGTAATGCTAGCAGGCTGCAAGGGCAGCTCCCAGGGGACGTGGTTGAAGCAGTGATGTCTGGGTCAGGTGAAACGTCAGAGGGAGCAGAGCAGCACTGACGTTATGGACCTCGGAACACCATCCCATAAACAGCGTGTCCACACCCTGCCTGAGCACACGCCCAGATGAATAAGGAGGGAACAAGGGTGTTGGGGTGGTTCAGCCTCTGCCTGAACCTGATTTGTCCCCTTCTTTTGGTGCAATACATTGCCCTAAACAATAAGTTTTCATTCTGCTGACAGTGATTCTGATCTTGTGACTGTTAAGGGAGAGCTTATGCTTCCACTTTCCATGTTGACACATGAGTAAGCTTCCTCAGTGCTCCAGCAGGATGGGGCTCGAGCTCCAGTTATCTTAAGCCTGCTAATAACCTTGGGTTATCACATACCTACAGGGATGCCATCAGCATTCCCTTCAGGTTACACCTCTCTCAGCTGGCAGAACATGGAATAGGATCAACTCTGTACAAGCAGGGAACAAAGAGGAGTGCACAATTCCTCTGAAAATACACTGGTGGTCCCTTATTCTCTGCTGGGAAAAATGAGCTCACTCTCTTGCATGTAAGAGGCAGTATGTCATAATCCCATCTTCCCCCTTTTCTCTGGATATCAAACACAGAGCAGGCAATCCCATCCATCAGGAGTTTCTGATGGAAATTGTGAACTGACCTGAGCACTGAAAACGGATATCAGTGACTCAAGCACTGCTGTGTCTCTCGAAATCCTACACTCTCAGGTTAAAAGAAATAAGGGGGTATGTGATGGTTGATGAGTCAGGATGCTTTCCCCTGGCATGATTGTTTCTCTGCCTAATTACACAGACACAATAGCAAAGAAATTAGATAAACCAGGTAAGGTTTGTTGTGGGTGTCCTGGTCTTCTAGGAGAAAGGAATCTTATTTGCCTGACATGACTTGTAAACAAACTACCCTGTTTTTAAAACAGCATATTGCTTCCAAATTGCATGTTATCTGTTCTGAAACAACACCACTTATTGGGTTATCCTCTCCTTTAATCGGACACACTTGTTGACATATCATTAAATCCCACTTAGCACAAGTGTGAGAAGCCTGCTGTTAAAAGCTGCAAGCAGAAAGCCAAGGAGGACACACGAATCCTCCCATAGCACTTGCAAAGAAGGCCCTGATCTGTTCATAAAAGGTCAGGAAGGGAGCAAGGAATTCAAAAGCCTTAAAAAACAGCCTGGATTGGAGTCTTGAGTAGTGCGTCATCACAAGTTTTCTTCTCCCGAGGGAGTAATTCTTCAGATGTTTTACGTGCCCCTTGCTGGCGTCTCTCCATGTTTTTCTTCAGCAGCAATTTGTCTATTTCTGCATTTATTTAGCCTTCTTTTTTTAAGCAGAGTCAGAGCTAATAGACATCTGTGCATATGGGAGAGCCTGAAAGGGTTAACACCACCTTGCTTTTATGTCCACTGCCCAAATGCTAACAGTGCCTGGTTAGGTGTGCACATTATGGACCACGCAATAGGACAGGCATGGTGCTATTGCAGAGTCCCTGCTGTGTGGATACATTCTTCTTCTCCAATCTGGCTGGCTGCAAAGGGCTCAGATAATAACATATTTTCTTCTTTTTTTTCACTTAGGGATGGAGTACCAATCCTGGTGTCTTCATTAAAAATGACATGCTTGAGGATAGAGATTTTTTTTTCATATAAGAGGCTGGCAGGTGTTCATGTTTGTGGTGTTGTTCAGAAAAGATGAATTCTCCTTTTTATGTACCTTCTGTATTTTCAGGTTCAAATAAAGACATGTGTACAGTGTATGGGAAGAGGGAGGGGTTGCAGAGTTTCTGTCACCTCACATGGCCACACAGGTGATTTCTTACCATTATCAGTGGGTGATGTCAAAGCCCCTGATGAAAGCCACAAGAAGCTGCAATTCCTGTGCAGTCTCTGCTGGCTTGGAAACTAGCAGTGCCAATTCTCCTGGGATTTGCA